TATATATATATATATATATATATATATAAGTTTGTGTAATCCTATGTTAATTACCAGGTTAATCACGGAACCGTTTAGCGAAATTCCTTCTAGCTACACACTGTGAGTAGTTATGTAACTGCTTGATCATTTGAGACACCGTGTTGAACAAATGGTTTAATCTTCCGGCTCAGTGTGCTCATTCATAGATCTGCACACGAAGCTCGTGCCAGAGGAAAGTTATCACACATTCTTTTTTTTTTTTTATTCAAGATTTAAAATGGCAAATAATTAAAATTTGTAGTAATCGTTTACGCCGAAGCTCTAAACGTTTTAATAGAACCAGTCTGTGGATAAAACTATTCAAACTGTGCATATAGCAGAGCCATTCCTTCTCCTGTCTTAGTTGTAGTTGTTAAGATATGCCATAAACTAACAATTCCCAGAGCAGTCCCTTCTCTTATGTTAGTTGTAGTTGTTAAGATTTGCCTTAAACTAACAATTTCCAGAGCCGTCCCTTCTCCTGTGTTAGCTGTAGTTGTTAAGATATGCCTTAAACTAACATTTCCCGGAGCTGTTCCTTCTCCTGTGTTAGTTGTAGTTGTTTGTGTAAGATATGCCTTAAACTAACAATTCCCACAGGCATTCCTTCTCCTGTGTTAGTTGTAGTTGTTTGTGTAAGATATGCCTTAAACTAACAATTCCCACAAGCATTCCTTCTCCTGTGTTAGTTGTAGTTGTTTGTGTAAGATATGCCTTCAACTAACAATTCCCACAGGCATTCCTTCTCCTGTGTTAGTTGTAGTTGTTTGTGTGAGATATGCCTTAAACTAACAATTCCCACAGGCATTCCTTCTCCTGTGTTAGTTGTAGTTGATTGTGTAAGATATGCCTTAAACTAACAATTCCCAGTGAGGTAACCATTTACTTCACTTGGTAGAGCAGTCATTTGTATATTGCCAGAGATCTTGGGTTCGAATATTACTCGAAAGGGTGAAATAAAGTTGGAATACCATACTCACACACGGTTATTTCTATTCTCTATTGATATGTGCTGTAACGTCGTGTAACAACACTTGTTGATAGTCATTTCGTGTGGATGTTATGAAATAATTTTAGAGGTATTGCTCGGATTTAATAATTACTCTTGATGTAAAAAGTTATTTGATTTTGTTCTCATACATTATGTACAGCGTGTCTGTCTGTGAGACAATTAACTTCTGCAACTGCAATGTATAAGCATCTGTTCAGATAAGGTTTAGGTTATGTAAACTAATATAATGTAATTCCTTATGTTGTTGCCTTACAAAAATGGACAAAACGCTAGAGTACGGAGATCTCAGCTGATCAGCCTGATTACGTCATAATTACGCTCGTTATGGCTGAACCAATTATTATCAATATGTAAATAGTAATCATAACGTCCAATGGAAGTACAACATGCGCTTTTAAAGCAACAGAACATATATAGTTAAATTCAAGCTATATTTATCAATTCCGTGGCCCAATTTATCCTAAACGATAATGTGTTGCTCTGTAGTTCAATAAGTTCAAGGTTCGAGTCGCGATATACCCCAAAAGACGCTTCGTACTTTCAGCTTGTTATATGATGAAGAGTAGTCAGGTAAGTAGCTGGTTGCTGCTGTCTAATTGCCCTCTAGTCAGGGATGACTATACATGAACCTTAAGGCTGCTGACTAATTGCCCTCTAGTCAGAGATGACTATACATGAATCTTAAGGCTGCTGACTAATTGCCCTCTAATCAGGGATGACTATACATGAATCTTAAGGCTGCTGACTAATTGCCCTCTAGTCAAGAATGATTATAAGTTAACTTTAAGAATTTCTTACCTTGCCTCATAGGCAATGAGTCACACACACACAGTTTAAAAATTCGAAATGTATATAATGAACATAACGACTAGTATTGTCAAATGTGTGATATGCATATTTTAAGAAATAGAAAATATGATCAGGGTTAAGCTCTTTTTATTTATTATATTCTAGTGTTCTTTAATATATTTTAATGGAAAGAAATGTGTAAAACAAATTAAATTTTTCTGATTCGTTCGTACACAATTTTATCGTAGTATGTGCTTAGTAAAATTTGTATGGAAGTATAATGTGTATATATACACACACATGTGTGTGTGCAAGACGAGCGCTAACAACAGATGTCTGATATAGTAGTGTGATTTCATCAAGTTGTTTGTTTATTTGTTTATGCAAAGCTACTAAGGCTATCAGCTGCTGTCTCTAATTTTTAACAACCAGCCAGCTGCACCCATCGTCAACTTTTTCATTACTCTTTATTAATAAATAGTGAGATTGACCATCACATTTTAATCCCTCATAGCTGAAAGGACGAGCATGTTTGGTGCCGGGTTTTGATCCAGCAACTCGCACATTGCGAGTCGAGCGCCCTAATTAATTATTCGGCCATGCCAGTTTTATCGTAATTATTAAGTAAAACTGGCATAAAGATAAGCTAACCATATCAAATATTAGGTTTTTTTTAATTCTGATTTTTTTTACACCGATGGCAAATGTGTTAAGCACCTTTTGCTTTAAAATGTAAAAAAAAAATCCATGTAATATCATGATTGTGCCCTACACACAGGGAAAGAAAATTGTAAAAACACGTAAATAGGGCGTATGGCATAACAGACACCGTTTTTTAGCCACACGAACACTTTTTGTGACATAGCATTAAAAATAATTCCTTCCACCCTTTATTGTGCTGCTGTATTTTCCTCTACAATTCTCAACTTACGGAGTCCAGCCCTTGGTGTAGAGTGACTGTCCTGGATATTCTTGGAACGCCCTCTAGAGGAATGTGAGCAGAACGCCTGGTGACAACATAAACAAGGATTTTTACTGTTAGTGGATTAATAGGTGACAAGATATACTGTTTTTTATTGCTGTATGTGCACGAAACTTTTACCTAAGTTATTATAAATTCATCTCCTGCTGCTTCACTACCAGAGTGTACTTTTTTTCGTATTAACGTGTTTTGTAAAAAAATGTTTTCATGTATGCTTCCAAGTGTTGTACAGAGGCGTATCTGCATTTAACTGAATTCGTAAATTGCGTATTACCAGTATCAGAGAAACTTTTTATTCGTCTAGCTTGTCCCCCAGTGGCACAGCGGTATGTCTGCGGACTTACAACGCTATAATCCGGGTTTCGATACCTGTGTTGGGCAGGGCACAGATAGCCCAATGTGTAGCTGTGTGCTTAATTACAAACAATCGCCTATCTTTTAATTGGCAAATTAATTTTAATTTTATATTTCTGCAGATTACGTAAGTTTAATGTTTTCAAAACTTTGTTATGCCTAAAGTAAATAGTTTTTATCGTGTTAAAAACGCGTAAAATAACCAGTAATAACAGATTTGGAACAACATACAGAAAATCATATAAATAAGCATGGATCTCCCACGTGATAAATAAATAAATATATGTAGTTTGTTTGTAATTAAGCACAAAGCTACACAATGGGCTATCTGTGCTCTTGCCACCACGGGTATCGAAACCCGGTTTCTAGCGTTGTAAGTCCGCAGATATACCGATGTGCCACTGGGGGGCAATATATATATATGTATAGAGAGAGAGAGAGAGATTTGTGTAAAATCGCGTTTACTTCTATAAAGTTGAAAACTTTCTTTGACTGAAAATTTTATCCATTACGTGACTTAATTTATTTCGTTCAAATCGTATTTAACTTGACCGGAATCTTTATTCCATTTGCATATAAGATTTAGCTTCACATGTTATTATAAGACATATATTTTAACATGTTAAGCCCTCTTTGGATGATTTGGTGATAGTTAAGCTCAAAAGTACAATAATGACACACCGCATTCTAAAGTATTTGGGGTGAAATGTTCGTACAAACGCTCGACTTGAGCAGCGAACAAACATTGAAGTTCTGGTTGCTGTGACGTTCCTCCCTCTTGTGCCTCTTCCATATTAATTCTTTAATCTAATATAAAAACAAAACTTCCATACGCTGAAGTCACATGTGTGTAGCAGAATATACGAGAGGTGTAAATGTTTTTTAAAACAAACTACATGAATGGTGTGGGATATGGCTAGTAAAAAATTTCTATTTATTATGTTAATTACAGTTCAATAGAAAAATGTTGATCTAAAGACGTGTGTTTCGTAGCTTCAATAATAAAGAAGAACATGCATGGCAGAAACAAATAATTTAAGTAAAAACGTGACAGTGGAGAGAAAACCTTAGGTATCGAAACATTCCAGGAAAACTGTGTCATTTACAAATGCCTACCAGTGGCACAGCTGTAAGTCTGCGAAACTTTAACTCTGAAAACCGGGGTTCGATACCCGTTGTGGGCATAGCACAAATAGCCCATTGTATAGCTTTGTGCTTAAGTACAGACAAACAAATAAACTTTTAGAAATCAGAAATGCATTCCCTTCAAATAAACATTCCATATTTCCCATTTTACAAACTAATATATAACTGATTTAAAAAAAACTTTTTAGAAACTTTGTTCATCAACATGGGAATTACTTGCCTTTAATAGGGGTTTTCAATATATATATATATATATATATTATTATTATTATACGAAATTCATTTTAACAAAGACAAAAACATCTGGCTAATAGCAAGTGTTAATGATGTAAATTTGAGCTGAAATTTACTTTCACAGCATTGTGTCTGAATTATTTGTCTGGATGTCATGCTCCCCAGTAGCTTAGCGGTAAATCTGAAGGCTCATAACTCTAAAAACCGAGTCTCGATATCCTTGGTTGGCACAGCACATACAGCCCATTGTGTAGATTTGTGCTTAACAACAAACAAACAAATGGACGTCTACTGTGAATGTCAAAAGAAGCAAAAACTTTTTCAGAATAAGAAAGCATAAGTTTTAGCTGAAACACTCGCCCCATTATATTTACAATAAAAGTTTGGTGCTCTCACTCAAAAGAAAGTAATTAAAT